GACTCCACCAGAAGGCGAGTCTAGGAAACGGCAACATGCTGGGGGAGTTCATGAGTAAAAGTCTAGGAAACGGCAACATGCTGGGGGTGTTCATGAGTAAAAGTATAGGAAACGGCAACATGCTGGGGGAGTTCATGAGTAAAAGTCTAGGAAACGGCAACATGCTGGGGGTGTTCATGAGTAAACGTCTAGGAAACGGCAACATGCTGGGGGTGTTCATGGGTAAAAGTCTAGGAAACGGCGACATGCTGGGGGTGTTCATGGGTAAACGTCTAGGAAACGGCAACATGCTGGGGGTGTTCATGGGTAAACGTCTAGGAAACGGCGACATGCTGGGGGTGTTCATGGGTAAACGTCTAGGAAACGGCAACATGCTGGGGGAGTTCATGAGTAAAAGTCTAGGAAACGGCAACATGCTGGGGGTGTTCATGAGTAAAAGTCTAGGAAACGGCGACATGCTGGGAGTGTTCATGGGTAAACGTCTAGGAAACGGCAACATGCTGGGGGTGTTCATGAGTAAAAGTCTAGGAAACGGCAACATGCTGGGGGTGTTCATGAGTAAAAGTCTAGGACACGGCAACATGCTGGGGGTGTTCATGAGTAAAAGTCTAGGACACGGCAACATGCTGGGGGTGTTCATGAGTAAAAGTCTAGGACACGGCAACATGCTGGGGGTGTTCATGAGTAACAGTCTAGGACACGGCACCATGCTGGGGGTGTTCATGAGTAAAAGTCTAGGACACGGCACCATGCTGGGGGTGTTCATGAGTAAAAGTCTAGGAAACGGCAACATGCTGGGGGAGTTCATGAGTAAAAGTCTAGGAAACGGCAACACGCTGGGGGAGTTCATGGGTAAAAGTCTAGGAAACGGCAACATGCTGGGGGAGTTCATGAGTAAAAGTCTAGGAAACGGCAACATGCTGGGGGTGTTTATGAGTAAAAGTCTAGGAAACGGCAACATGTTGGGGGTGTTCATGAGTAAAAGTCTAGGAAACGGCAACATGCTGGGGGAGTTCATGGGTAAAAGTCTAGGAAACGGCAACATGCTGGGGGAGTTCATGGGTAAAAGTCTAGGAAACGGCAACATGCTGGGGGAGTTCATGAGTAAAAGTCTAGGAAACGGCAACACGCTGGGGGAGTTCATGGGTAAAAGTCTAGGAAACGGCAACATGCTGGGGGAGTTCGTGAGTAAAAGTCTAGGAAACGGCAACATGCTGGGGGTGTTTATGAGTAAAAGTCTAGGAAACGGCAACATGCTGGGGGTGTTCATGAGTAAAAGTCTAGGAAACAGCAACATGCTGGGGGTGTTCATGAGTAAAAGTCTAGGAAACGGCAACATGCTGGGGTGTTCATGAGTAAAAGTCTAGGAAACGGCAACATGCTGGGGGTGTTCATGAGTAAAAGTCTAGCAAACGGCAACATGCTGGGGGTGTTCATGAGTAAAAGTCTAGGAAACGGCAACATGCTGGGGGTGTTCATGAGTAAAAGTCTAGGAAACGGCAACATGCTGGTGGAGTTCATGAGTGAAAGTCTAGGACACGGCAACATGCTGGGGGAGTTCATGAGTAAAAGTCTAGGAAACGGCCACATGCTGGGGGTGTTCATGAGTAAAAGTCTAGGACACGGCAACACGCTGGGGGAGTTCATGAGTAAAAGTCTAGGACACGGCAACACGCTGGGGGAGTTCATGAGTAAAAGACCACATGAAATTCAAAAACTGGCGGCAGCGTGGTACGACGGACAGAATCTGCGATAGTCAACCCACTGAACAAGTGAATGTCTTTAAATATCTTGCTTTAATCTTGTGTATAGATCAAAGTCATAAAAATCAGGGGAAGCGAAGAATTGACCTGGGTTATCCAATAAAGCGACCAGCGAGTCATGATTACTGTGACACGAACGATGTTCTTTGATTTCGTCACCTCACTCAGCGAGATTGCCCAGTCTGCTGAGGAAAACAATGCACCAGTTGTATACGCGAGATTGCCTAGTCTTCTGCAGACAACAAAGCACCAGTTGTATACTCGAGATTGCCAGCCCGGCTCTCTAGCGTAGTTGGCTAAACCGGATTGCGCGGTGACCGGGTGACGAACTCCTTGTTGGGAAGAAAAGCCACATTTCTCCCAGATTTACGGTATTTACAATAGAATCAAGGTCGAAAGGTTGCGATATCCATAATACCGAGCCTAAGGGTTAACAACTCATGGTTTCTGGATACTAAAACAACAATATGCGAGATTGCCCAGTCTGCTGCAGACAACAAAGCACCAGTTGTATACGCGAGATTGCCCAGTCTGCTGAGGAAAACAATGCACCAGTTGTATACGGCGAGAGAGGAAAACAATGCACCAGTTGTATACGCGAGATTGCCCAGTCTGCTGAGGAAAACAGTGCACCAGTTGTATAACTGGAGATGTTCTGTGTTATCTGATCCATGCTTTTCAGTACATGGCCTGGGTAAATCACGCTGTGTGTCGTGTGTGCAAGAGCTGCCAGAGCACTTGGCTGCTCATAACTTCAGGCTTATTCTGGACATATCCTAGCAGTTCTGGTCAGGCAATGTATGTACAGCTGGTATAGAGAGGGAAGCACAGTGTTGGCGGACTGTCCAACTGCCAGGTGCCACACTGGGACAAAGTAAAACTTTGATTACCCGTCACTCGTTTAACGGTCAGTTACCGCCGTAGTCTAAACTCGGTATATTAAAGTTTTTATTGATCGATTTGTGAAATTACAAACAATGTGTAATTATATTCACTTTTGAAAAATTGTTTTGTCATTATCGTCCTAAGCCAGTCATGTAATCACTTAACTGTACACATAAGTGACGAGATTTCTCTTATTTTATATTCGATTATGGGTCACGGGTCTGGTCCGCACGGTGACGGTTAATCGAAGCTTGTAGTTCTGTATGTCTCAGTAACGAGGTCATCTTCATCTGTCAAACTTATGACAACCTTTACTATGATGATTATATAATAATAGGAAGAACTCTACAGGGGAGCATGTACAGCAGGAGTCCACCGATCATCACTAGAAGATCCCTAGTCAACAATTGTTTCCGCCCCTTACCTCATAGACAGTTTTAGAGGGTGGGCCGACCTGGGTCATAACCTGTGTGAGTTAGCACCATTTGTTGCTGAACATTGCCCCGCGCCATGGTCCAGGAGAGACATTGTGGATCCTGCCCCCGTCTCAAACCCGTTTAATGCACGCCCGAGGTGTCATACTTGTGCTGTCCACTATCGTGATGTTCCACGCCTGCCTCATCTTACTGGAACCCTGCCCTTCGTGTCTAATATTTATAAGTCATTGGTGGCGTTTACACTGGACGGATATCTGCTTCCGCTAGTTGCTGGTTATCAGTCGTGTGTGTGTGTGTGTGTGTGTGTGTGTGTGTGTGTGTGTGTGTGTGTGTGTGTGTGTGTGTTTTTTAAAAAAAAAAAAAAAAAAAGATTCTTGCGCCTTTACAGTTATGTATCGAAAACTTCAGTTTCCCCTCACTGATTGCCCAGTGGTCTGTGATTCACTTCCGTATGTTAGCGTATGGAAGATTAAAGTACTCAAGATTGTGACCCTAATTCGTGTGCTGGTGTTTTATCGTCGGCTGTTTGATGCTGTGCCCGTCACCTTCTGACTTCCTTTTAACACTTCCACTTGCTGTTGCTGTTGAAAACTGTGCAGTAGTGAATCAACTTCCATTGTTGGAAGTCTGTTAGATTGACCATTACTTCACTGTTCACTGTACATTTTGGTTGACACGTAATTTGTTTCTCTGGTTTCATTATTATTATTATTATTATTATTATTATAACTCATCGAGCACCAAGCAACCCACTGTGGGTTTATTAAGGTTACCACTAAGAGGGTATGGTTTTATTACCTTGGTGTGCCATTTTGGAGAAGTGAGACTTTATTACTTTTGGCAGTAAATCCGCAAGACACAAAGGGTTAAAGAAGCGTTTGTCAGAGACTGAAAGAATAACTGTTTCAAATGTAAAAAAAAAAAAAAAAAAAAAAAACACCGTTTAAGGCGATTGATACAGAATGGATTGATTTGTTTGATCCTTTACAGGAGAAACCAGTGGTCCTTTCGGCACAACTCACGAAGTCGGGCCCAGAAAGAGAGTGATATCCCTTGCCATTCATCCCTGGTCGTGTCGTAGCGCCTGTCTTATGTTGCGGGGTTGTCACGCTTAGTCAGCGTTCAGCAACATAACACATTTTACGCGTTGTTGTCACCCGGCCGGTGATATCGTGGGTTCTGTATTCTACAATGTGACCGCTTTTATCGGTCCCAAAACATGTAGAACTGGCCCTAACCCAAAGCGCCACTCCCTACGCCACAGTCTCAACCAACGTCTAAAAAGAGAATGCAGCCTATGTCCTACGACTGTAGCCTATGATAACAACGCGCTGGATAAATGGCAATGGAAGTCACCCTCTGTCTGGGACCGACTTCGTTAGTTGTTTCGTTCTTTCTTATCCAAGTTCTGAAATCTGCCTAAAGAAAATTGTAAATAGACAAAGGTTGTTATGTTCTTCGCCATTTTGGTGTTTCTCATGATGTGTACCGCACAGATGTTGAACACGTGTGTAGTGAGAGTGCTTATATTTTGAACACACGTTTAGTGAGTGAGAGAGCAACATTCTCATCCTACCCATGGTGTTTGTACTTGTACTTCAGACTAGTTGAGTGTTAGACAGCTGTTCTGACAACAGCTTTGGGTGATATCCTAATCCATGTACACGAGCCAGACTTGCGTGATACCCCAGATACCTTAGAAAGAGCTACTGTGTCCAACACTGATTAAATATTCACCGGTGTCTGCACAGCTAAACTTCCGCTGTCCTCTCTTGACTCCCCGAAAGAGCACTCTCTATGCCCTAGCGATCTTGTAAGAGGTTAAACTATGACGTTCTGCACACGATAATGATTGATCTGACTACCAGAGTGATACCTTGCTAACGTAGATTTCTGTTATTTATGTCTTCCACAGACTCCTCCTTGGAGAGGATGGATGAACAAAGAAGGGGCAGTCTGCCTCTGGTGTCAACATACAATGATAGCATGGAGTCTGTGTCCACCACCTCTAGATTGGCTGTGAGTATTTACTCGTTTATCTTCGCTTGTATGTGCTATGTCTGTTTGTATTTGCTCATATCCTTTGTCGTTTAGTGGTCTTGGTTGTCCACAACCTCCTGTCCTCTCTCCTACAGTGTCATATCAATATTTCACTTTGCAATGCCAAGCTGTCTAGCCTCTGTGTTTTTGTCTTCCCTCCAACTTTCCTGTTGTCACGTCATTTTTCAGTTTATCCTTTCTCATTAAGTGTTTAACTCACGTTGATTCTCTACTGCTGATGCTGGTAACCAGCCTTCTTCTCCCAACTCCTTCTGAGTCCCTTATTTAAGATTATTCTCTCTCATTGTCTCCAGGTATCTCACTGTCTTTTGAAGACACTCCCAGTGTCTGGTATCGGTGTCTGTGTCTCTCAGTATCTGTCGATGTCTGGAAATCTCTTTAGATCACTCTTAATATCTCTGTTAGCTAGTTAGTTAATTAGTTAGTTAGTTAGTTAGTTGGTTAGCAGATTATCCTCATTGCTTTCCCGGCCAAAATGGACGATAGACACGGTCACTTGTTTTTAGTCGTGGCAAATGTTTTTCTACTGACAGACGGTGACAGTTGCATTTTCCTCCATTTATGAACTGAAAGGATATGGTTTTGTTGACCGGCTACTGATTTGAGAGCATGGCGCGACACTGAGCTGCGAATTTCGTTTGGAATATTTTTTGACTGTGACCAGCGTGATGTTGCCACAGAATTATTGGTGGCCTTATGTGATTAAAATTGGTCGCGTGTGCAACTGCTGATGTGTTTGTAACTGCTGCTTCCGTCGATGACGAGCTGCATTTCTTGTGTCAGACTGTTCGTGTTAACACTTCTAATGGCCGCCTTATGCTTTTAATGCGTGTGTATTCTGGTAGAAATGCTGAGACTGCAGTCTGTGTCAGTTTTTTCCAAAAAATGACACGAGTTGACATTCTGTTTGATTTTCATTGGCACTGGGGTGTAGCAACTGGGTTGACCCCTTTGCTATGAAGCTGAAACTGAGATTACAGTATCCACAATGCACTTTGTATAAATCCATAAGCACTCGAATCACATGTCAAGTGCGAACTTTCGGCGACTTAAAATTGCGCACTTCCGGCGACTTCCGCTACCGCCGAAAGCATCTCCCACGCCGCTGCGCGCGGCGTGGATTGGGGGTAAACTAGATGGCCGGGACTCGCGAGCAGCAGCTATCCCATCTCCAGCAGCTTCCTTCATTTTATTTGCTCGTGAGTCCCAGCCATCTAGTTTAGCCCCAATCAATGGAAGATACTCTCGGCGGTGGTGGATAGTCCCCGGAAGTTCGCAAATGACATGTGACTGAGGCCCTGTTAGGGTATATTTTCGGCCTCGATAATTTAGGACCGTGCTTTCCTGTTGTAAAAACGCAGCTTTGCTGTCACCGGGGAGGAAATATTGAGATTATACTTTATTGCGTATACACTTTCTGTTTTGCAGAACTTTTTCTCCAAGAAAGGATTTAAAAGTAATCTCAAGAGGACAAAAAGTGTCACAAAACTGGACAGGAAGAGATCAAGCCCCAACCTATCGGAACATGACAC